CCGTCCTCTTCTCCTTTTGCCTTCAATCTTTCCCAGCATCAGGATCTTTTCCAAAGAGTCCATAATTACAGCCATTCTTATTTTGCGCCCTCAATGTAACTTAATAGGACTGAATTCTATCCTATATGGGCTGGGCTCACAGAACACACATAATTGAGATACTAAACTAACCTAACTAACTAAACTAATCCCTATCTGGGATTGCATAATGTATTGAAGCACAGGCTGGCCAACTCATACAACATGCATTCACACAGTACGCCCAACTACACACATACACACACATACAAATCAAGGTTAGAATGAAGCAAGCATATCACATTTTGTAAAGTATCTTTAGCAGCTCTCTCCATGTCATTCATAATTTTATAAAATGCATTCACTTCCCCTGGCTCTACTCTTACTGATTTGTTGTCTGTCTAAATCTGCACAGGACATAGTTACAAAGTTACAAAGAGGCATGATTTTATCTTTTTTCTGCAAATAGACCTAGGTCATATCAGAAATGGTCCTGAAGCAAGTATCAACATAAATATATTTTCCAGGATCAAAGTTCATAGCCCTTGAATACACTCCACAGTTTCAACATCTATCCCTATACATGCAACATGTCATTACAACACAACGGCACTCCACCCAGCTCAGTCCAAAGGTACATAACTGGCATGGGATAATAAACAAACATTTCTAAAATATGAAAAGGACAGTCCTTCCTTAAAGTGTACGCCAGAACATAAGGAAGGCATATAGCTTGTATGTCCATGACCTCTCAGTTTTAGGCCTATTCCATAAGGTCTGCCGTTCCTGTGTAATTTAATACAGTATTATTAATCTTATCATTTTGAACAAGCGGAACCTGCAACAAAATGTTGCAACATGCTTCTCCCATTTTTTCTTTCCCCAAAGAGTCAGCTGTGTGCTCAGTCTATATTGCTGTTTTGGGAGTTCCTTGACTCCTGGGCCTTTCCCCCCAACCCAAATATTTTTGGTCCTTCTGCAATACAGTATGTTTTACCTCTTCCTCCTCCCCACCCAAATCTGTTGATTCCTTCCTCTTGTATGTAAGTTGTGCTATTTCTGTTGCATACGGATTCACACTTGGAGAATGAATTTACGTTCAGGGCTCATCTACATGTCCTGCTTTTTGCAGCATGAAGACAGTTTAACATTGTCCAAGGCCATGTTCTGGGAGACTAATTGTCCTATTGGAAGAAGCGTGCAATAAATTAAGGTTAAATAAATAATGAAAACGAAGGCCCAAATCCCCAGCTCTGTCCCACTACAGGTTCAGGGAGAGTGACTGGGAATTCATTTCCCTCCTGATTGCTGACACTGGATGGGAGGGGAAAGAATGACAGATAATCCACCAATCGTTGCCCTGAAACTACGCTTCATTACTCTGTGGGAGGGCAGTAATACTACCTGCCTTGTGCCTAAGGTACCCTAAAGGTATGCTGTGGTGACAGTACAATTTTTGTAGAATTACTTTAATTTTGACTCAAGGATGGAAGGAAAGCCCATTAAGG